GACGCGGGGCAGTGCCCCTCCCCTCACTTCTTTGCATGCAATGCTTGAAATCTCTAGGGTTGTTTCCTTCGGGGACACGTAGGGGACAAGTGTTCCTCCCACCTTCCCTGGGGATTCTCAGCCTCTCTTCCCAGTTTCATCGAACCTCTTAGATAACTCATCACCGGGTTCATTATGTCCAGCACAGTAGGGGAAGCCTCCCTACATAATCCGCCCTCTGCTACGTGAGCCCAACTAGGCTTCTAAACTCTGGGTGAGCATCTTGCAGCTAACCAGCTTGGCACAACTGGAATGAGGTGTCGTGACTGAACTACCTTGAAGAGAATATACATGCTGAGTTGACTATGAAGAACTTTGGCATTGAAGAGGTCTGGGGGCACCTGGGGTCCCTGTCCGTTAAGCTTCTGACTTTGATTTTGGCTCAGGTCATGATGTCAAGGTGGTGAGACCGAGCCCTGCATGGGCCCCATGCTCAGCTTGGAGTCTGCTTCAGGGTCTTCCTCTGCCCCCTTCTACTCATGCTCTCTCTCTCTCGCTCTCTCTCATAAATAAATAAATCTCTTTAAAAAAAGTATAAATGTGGGTCACCTGGGTGGCTCAGTTGGTGAAGCATCTGTCTTCGGCTCAGGTCATGATCCCAGACTCCTGGGATGGAGCCGCACATAGGGCTGGCTCCCTGCTCAGCGTGGAACCTGCTTTTCCCTCTTCTCCCCACTTGTGCTGTCTCTCACTATCTCTGTCTTTCTCAAGTAAATAAAATCTTTAGAAAAAAAGTAAAAATATTTTTGTATAAAATGCTTTGTAAACGAGAATATTCTATAGCAATAAGGTATTAGCAGTAGTCAATTCTGCTGTGTTGAGCGTTGTGCTCTTTGCATCAGTTGGGCATCCCAAAACGATGATCATTTTAGCTGCTAGAAGAAGAGGAGACATTACTACATCACTGAAGGTAGAACCTTGTAGAATTGCAAACCAGTTCTCTCACTTAGTTCTTCCTTCTGGCCATGCTGTCATGTGCTAATTCTCATAGCCATACTGTTGCTAGGGGGCAGGATGCTGTGCATAATCTTGCAGAGGGAGTGGGTTATCCTAGTCCACATCATGGCCTTCCTCTTACTATTATTACCAGGGATGGAGCCCTCGTGGAATAAACAAACCTGGAACTATCTTCCACATGATCGTTAATACCTGCATATGCAAAATTCCACATATGTATCCACAGAAGGACAAAAAAAAAAAAAAGCTGAGTTTGCATATCTTTAAAAAAATCAAAATAAGGAGCTCAAGGCACCAGCACATTTAGGTAAGGGCAGCCATTCTTATAAAAGGAAATATTTAAAATTTTGGTCTGGATGAATCAAAAAGACTCAACACAAAATCCGAATTTATTAAATTAAAAACTCTAAGTAGTTCCTAAGACTGAGATTTTCACTGGATGAAGTTCCACGGACTAAAATGATAGATTAGCTCTCCTGATCTGATCGGCAGGAAACACTTGCTAGCAGCTGCCTGGATCCTACAGTATCAGGCCAAGGAGCAGATGGGATTTAAATTTCTCATAGGTAATGTCACGGCAGTGATGTTTCCTCTCTTCCAGATGCTCCCCTGGGGGTGGGGGGAGGTGTTGGGACCGCTCAAACTGCACTTTAGAGGATCCTGGTTACTGTTTCCATGAATAAGATCAAATGGTGTTTATCCTCCATCGATCAATACCGTCTTGTTTGAACTGATTGAGTCATTTAGAGACACATAAGGTAATGACAACAGTTGTGCAACAGTACCCAGCGTGCCTCCCCGCTTGCTCGGGGATGACAGTGTTTTAAAAGACAGTTATTGAAACAGATTAGTAATGTCGCCTGGCTCTGTGATGAAATGAACGCACCCCACCGCAGGCCACCCCGCGGGTTTGAAGGACCGGGCGTTGGGTTTTTCACCAAGAGTTTCCTAGAGCACCGTTCTCTAAAATCAAAGTATACTGTGTTTTGTTGGGGCCGCTTCTGTGTCGTTAGAATAAAAGAAAAGTGAGAGTTTTTTTTTTTTTTTTGTCTTTTCTGGATAAATGGTTATTCTTGGTGACCAATCAGGACTTTATAATTTGTGTGTGGTTTTTGATTTAAACCGTCTCAGCGTGGTTTTGGCAAAGAGCAGCTAGTGGGTAAGTTTGGGAAAAGGTCTCAGGAAACTTTTCTGGAGATTGTTACAGGTGGAGAAGTGGGAAGGGGGAGCGAGCTCTGCTGGACTCCTAGCAGGTGCCAGGGATGGTGTTTGAGCCGTTTTGCTAGGTCATCTCACTGGGTCGTCACGAAATCCTGCAGGCCACCCTGCCACCCTTGAGGAACTGAGAGTCAGGGAAGTTAAGTAGAGCACCCGGGCTACACAGCGCGGAGTCCGGGAGGGGGCCTTGCAGCCGGGCTCGGTCAGAGAGTCTGGTGTTCTTTCTCTAAGTGCTTTGGAAGTTGCCACGACAGGCGTGGTCCGGTTTGGTAGAAGGGGGCTAGGCCATCGGGTACCTCCGACATCTTCAACTGGGCTGATTTCAGGAGGTTCTGGTTTTATGGAGCCTGGATGAGAACCCTAACAGTGATTTGTTCTTTCCTAATCTGTGCTCTGAGGGATGCTATTTCTGAGACATGTTAATAGATGTCCCTGAGGGATGTTCGGTTGTAAAGGAAGCTTAGGGAACAACACGTCTCACACTCAGAGATGCTCACAAGAAGTACATACACGGCCGCACACAGGACATCCCAGGCCCTGCAAGCACGACTACAATGGTTTCACGCTTGGGCTCTGGAGTCGGACCACTTGGCTGAGGAACCTGGCTCTTCGTTTCCCAACTGGGTGATGGGGAGCCTCTTAGGCAACTAATCCCTGCTCTATTTTCTCATTAGTAAAACGTTACACTAGTATCTACCCTATGCGGCGGGTCTAAGAAGAATACAGATGAACGCATGGAAGGTGCTCCGGAGTGGACTTGGCCATTTAATGCACAATAAACGTTTGTCATTTTAAAGGATGACTCCAAACATCCACGTAGTAATAGGTCCTGCTCTAGAGCGTCTGACTTCCTTCCCTCAACCTGCCAATAGGGTCACTTTTGGGGGGCCACACGTATTAACGTCCACTGAATACAGTGTGGGGAATGTTGTATTTGAAACGACACAAAACAACTTGGTCTTAACCCAGTTAAAAATAATAACTCTAAAAAAAATAATAATAATAACTCTATATTCAGTGTTTTCCTATCCATCATGTCGCTTCGTATTTGCCCACAAGTTTTTTTTTTTTTTCTTTTCCTTTCTTTTTGCCAATTCTCTTTCCCCTTCCCTTATGCTGGATAAACAATAAACTGGAACAGCAAAGTGTGAGAATCTTCTCAAGTGGACAGTATCAATATAATCCTGGAAAATATGGTCTGGAAATATGAACCAGTAAGTCATTTGTCTATTATTCTGTATTTAGCAGAGGAAGGCCTTAGCACTTCAACAGGCGAGTGCTCTTATTCCAGTAAGCCCTGGTAGCTCCAGACCGATGCTCCTACTGTAATCCCTCGGCAAAGATAATGATGGATGCTTCGGACCAGACCAATACACCTTTGAAGCTTCTAAATTATGACAAAACCCTCATCCTGCACAGGGCACAAATAATGCTGTGTTCCTCACCTTCTTGAAGTCATGCTATACACCTCCGAGAAGTCCTACCGTAAAGACACTTATCTCAGAGCCCGGTCTCCTTGGAATTCATTTTAATGCTCATAGAACGAAAGTATTTCAACCAGAGTTTATGAGATTTCTGGTAGGAAAGGATATTCCTGGTAAGCGCTCTGACACCTTTCTTAAGACACAATCGTATCATATTTTGGTTATGAATTGTCTTTCTGGAGTGAACAAAATGACCATGTGACAATATACCCACTGTGGCACCGTTGCCCAAACCATCCCAAGAAAAAGATGTAATTATTAGCTAGCCCCAAGGTTGAGATTTAACACATTCAAAGCCAGTCATTTTCCACATCTGTTTTTGTCCCTTCCTTCCTTCCTTCCTTCCTTCCTTCCTTCCTTCCTCCCTCCCTCCCTCCCTCCCTCCCTCCCTCCCTCCCTCCTTTCTTTCTTTCTTTCTTTCTTTCTTTCTTTCTTTCTTTCTTTCTTTCTTTCTTTCTTAATTTTTTATTGGAGTTCAATTTGCCAACATATAGCATAACACCCAGTGCTCATCTCATCAAGTGCCCCCCTCAATGCCTGTCACCCAGTCACCCCACCCCCCGCCCACCTCCCTTTTCTTTCTTTCTTTCTTTCTTTCTTTCTTTCTTTCTTTCTTTCTTTCTTTCTTTCTTTCTTTTCTTTCTTTCTCTTTCTCTCTCTCTCTTTCGTAAAGCGAACAGCTTAAGGCATTTCTCTGGTGAGTAGGATCTTGGCAAAAGAAATAGCAAGAATTTGCCAGGGTGATTTTGCATGGGGCCTTTTCTGTGGGGTTTTGTGTTTCAGATTTTGGTTTTGGGTGATTGTGAAGGACAAAGGAGCTGGAAGGAGAAAGTTGAATCTACGAAATCCCAAGTAATGCTAGCAGTTATGACCTATACGGAGAAATCAGAATATGCCAGTGATGTTCATGCTATTCCTCTTGTAAGTACATTTTTTTATGTTCCCAGAGGTCTTAGGACTAGGACACAGTCAACCACCACTCCCCCAGCTGGCTGGCCACGGCTAAATAAACTTCTCAGCAGCATTGGCCCTGCTCTTGAACCCAAGGCGGCAAATCTACTTGTCAGCCCCAGACATGGATTGAATCAAGTAGCAGAAGACGGCTGCCTTTGCATTCTGAGGGTGTATGATTATTCCAATAGATTCTTTTGTTTTCAGATTGCTCCCTTAGTATAAAAACAGCCAGAAAGCGCCCTGTGTCAGGTTCTATGGTGTACAGAGCTGTTCTCACCGCATTCCCACTGAGCCGCACTGCACAGTTTCAGAGTTGAAGCAAGAAAAAGCAAAACACATGGACCGTACCTGAGTGATTTCAGAGATCCCCACCCGGAAAAGGGTTCCTTGATTATGGCGAGTTCAACGTGTCACTCCGGTTATGCTCTAATCAACATATCAAACTCCAAAGGTTCAGTGGCTTTAGGTTTGGTTTACAATTCCTGGGAGTTAAACTTTAACTCACCCTGTCCCTTGCGTCCATACAGCCCTTTGACCAGATAATTGGGTCACTACAGCTCCGCAGAATCTACATAACTGCCAGGGGCGTCTGTTTACAACATTAAAATATGTTTTGCATTAAAACCTGTGGATGCGAATATTATTTTGAAGCTCTTTTTGTGAATTCCATATTCAAAAAGTAGAACTTACTGCAGCCTGGGTAACTACGGTTTTATTTATGTTAGCTCCCTTGTTTTCTGTGCCGTCAAAAGGATATTGAGTCTAAGGTAAATTTGGGAGAGTCTCTCTTTCCTCCCTTTTTAATGCTCCCTTTTTATATTATTGTATTGCAGGGAGCGAAGTGTGGAGTTTCAGGTCAGGTATTCAGATAGATGCTGACTTACAAAAATAAAATACACAAAGCATTTATATAACCGAGTAAATAGGGTCAGATCAGGGTGGGGAATCAGTCTTCTTTTTATGCAAGCTACTCATTTGGATTTCAAGAGCGTGTCCTTCCTGCGAGGGCATCACCGTCAGCTGTGGACTGGCTAATATGAGATCCGCAGCTAGTGTTCAAGGCTTGAAATCTTGGTGGTAACTGTGTTTCTTGAAGAATAAAGTGACATCTTCAAAGCTATAACCTCCAGATTCTAAGTTCCTTGGTACGAGCTCTAGTCCATAGAGGAAATTCTTCAAGGTAGTAAGCCCACTTGAAAACAACCCAAAGCCCTCCCAATTTTGAGTAAATTTGGCTTATGGATTTATAAGCCATAGCCCCCCAAACTCGAATTAGAAGCTACCTTGCTTGGCTTCAGTTCAAGTAAGAGGACTCTAATTCTCTAGGAGCCAGCTCTTGGCAGAAGCACGTTGGCCGTGGAAGAGCGTGGAGTGAGCAATCCTTCCATGATATGGTCGTAGGGGAAGGGGGGTCACCCAAGTGCTTGGGTATCTAAAGCGCAGGACACAAAGCATATTGCTGGGATGTTAGTTCTGCTTATGTTTTTTTAGTTCTCAGATGCCTTGTTTGCCTCTGCTTCTCCCAAAGTGATGCACGGCCAGGTGAGACACAGCACTCATTTTGCCCTGAGACGTGCTCTGGGAGTGAGCCCTGGGGGAGCACTCACTACACAGTTGCGTGAGGGCCACATCCTGGACAACCGGACTCCCATGGAGAGGTTTCCCTGGAGAAAGTTCAGTCTGGGCTCAAATAGTTTCCACACATGTGATCCTGACCTTGACTTTGCCTGGTCCTGCAGAGAACGGTAAATATATATACATATATATATATATTTTACTTTTTGTAAAAAAGTATATAAAATAAAGTATAAAAAAGTATAAAATATTTATATGTATAAATATATTTTACTTTTTATAAAAATATTTTTGTAAAAATATATATTTTTTTACTTTTTGTATTTTTATTGAAAAATATATTTAAAAAATACAGATTTTACCATTTACAGATTGCAGATATAGATGCTCTAAAAGAGTTCACTCTATTTTGTTGTTTTATGATACCTCTTGCCCCTGATACCACAAACATTCCAGTCTTGTTGATATCAGTTTAGAAAGGGGGGCATGGGAGCGTGACCTGCAACATACCTGGTGAACAGAAAGACAAACTGTTCAATTATAAATTCTTTTTTATCTTCTGTACAGTATTGCATTAGGGAGCCACAAAATTATGTAGCATCATTACAATGAAAACAGGTTAAAAATGAAGAAGATTATTACATAGAAATGCATGGATTCATTGTCTCCTTTAATATATTTATTATATATATATATAAAAGAATACTATATATATATATAAATAAAAGATTTTATTTATTTATTCCTGAGAGACAGAGAAGAGACAGAGACACAGGCAGAGGGAGAAGGAGGCTCCCTGCAGGGATCCCAATGTGGGACTCGATCCCGGGACCCCGGAGTCATGCCCTGAGCCAAAGGCAGACCCCCAAACACTGGGCCCTCCTGGCATCCCTGAGAATGGTTGATATTTTAAGATTGTCAGTCCTGGGAGAGTTTTCCTTGTTGTTTTGTGTGGTAAGTGCTTGGATGGGGAGAAGTAGAGATGAGAAAAGAAAAGCTGGGATTTTAGGTGTCTGGTAGAAACAGAAAAAATGCAACAGGTAAAAGAAGGCATTTATTGACTAGTTATTAAAAAAAATTGGTTTATTATATGAGGGGTCCTGGCATTCAACAGGATAGGGCTCTACTCAACTTAAACCAAAGTGTTTGAAAATAAGTTAAAATAGCCCTAAAGTCTGCTCATTAAGTGGGACAATTGACATATAAATCATAAGAGCAAAGGCAATAATGAATTTGGTGTAATGATATTGCTGGAAGTTTTTTTCTTTATTTTCTAAATCCTTTATTTTTGCAATAATAGGGTTATAACAGTTCACAGTAAACAGGGAAACAATGAACACTCTCTCTTGCGAATACATAAGGGGACATACTGTGGCACTGGGACAAGGGGAAAATCACCCCATGGCCCTGATCCCATGAGTCCAGTCAAGGGAAGTAACCGTACCCAGAATGGCAGGGGTTGCCTTCCAGGGCCCCATTCTCCTGGGAAGGACAAAGCCATAAACAGCCAACTGTTATTTAAACAAAAACAAATCATTTTAAATAGTGGCCGGTAAATATTTTTTCACTCATCTATTCTACAAACAATTACCAACGACCTACTATCTGCTGGACGCTGTGTCAGACGGGTAGTTATTTCAAATGCAGGTTGCCTCTCTTAGCATAACACGAATTAAGTAGGTTGTGGCCAACATCTTTAGAACAGAGTAGAAATTATGAAGTGAATTGCTTGGAAAAGGGGCATGTTCTCCAAAACTTTTCAGCTTTGTGTGTGCGTGTGCGGGCAAACTGGTTATGATCTAAAGTTTATTGTGAAGCACAATTTGAAAAGCGTCAGAATAATATGCTAGTCTTTAGGGATTCAGCAGTTGACAACAGAGACACAGAGTAGACACGTGAAGCAAATACTCCTCACAATACTCAAGTATGGTTGGAGTAAGTATCACGAAGGAGGAGTACAGGATGCTAAGCAAAGCATTCAATGTAGGGACCTAAGCTAGTGTGGAGCTGGGAGGGAGTTGAAGAAAGTCTCCCAGAACATCTGACACCCGAAGGGGGGAGGGCGTCAAGGTGGGCATTACAGCAGGTGGAAATAGCACAGTGGGTGTCCTGAATCTGAAGAGTTTGGCACATTCAATCAACTGGGAGAAGGCCAGGTGTGGGGGGCGAGTGGGGGAAAGAGGCTGGCCCCAGCTGGTGAGGGCTCTGTGCCATGGCGCCACAGATTTCCAGTGCTATCGCCAAGCAATCGGAAGTCACTGGAAGGATTTTAAGAAAGTGAGCCACATGGTCTGTGTATATATTTTGAGTGCAAGTTGAAGAATAAATTGTCATGGAATGATATTACCTGCCTCTCTCCTTTTTTAAAAAAAAATCATATATGCTTAAGAGTTATTTACTCACATAGACATTCAAATAAGAGTTAGTGATTTGGATTTGAGGCGGGCGAAGCCTTTGACAGACCAGTTAGAGAAGAGGTAGCAGGTGATGGTGGTCAAGATTAGGATGGGGGCATTGGAGCAAGGAAGAATGGATGGGGGAAAAATATGCAGAGTGGTCCATCGTAAGTGCTCACTAAATGCCAGTTATCACCAGTTTGCATGTGAATTATTTAACTTATGGATTTTAACTAATCTGGCCTTAAATATCAAACTGACTTTGCCACCCATCAGAGCTGGCATATTTGGGTAAAAATAATTGATTATTGGGGATCCCTGGGTGGCTCAGCAGTTTAGTGCCTGCCTTTGGCCCAGGGTGCGATCCTGGAGTCCCCAGATCAAGTCACACGTCGGGCTCCTGGCATGGAGCCTGCTTCTTCCTCCTCCTGTGTCTCTGCCTCTCTCTCTCTCTCTCTCTCATCAATAAATAAATAAATAAATAAATAAATCTTCAAAAAACAGTTTTTTTTTAAAAAAATTGATTATTGATGGTTTAGGTAAAACCTAAAGCTCTAAGAAACTTGAACTTTAATTCAAAGCCAAAGATTGCCAAGAGCAAGAGGTTTTCCTTCCAGCCGAAGTCCTTCCTCTCCTACCTCAACAAAAGGTTTCTTCACCGTTTTCAATGTCTTATGAATTCAAAAATACATTTTGGGTATTTGATGGGGGGTATTTAATGAACCGAAATGTAGTGTTATAGAAAATGAAAGGGCCACGCCAGACACACTACAATAGGGCAAACGTCTAATTCTCTCTCCTCGCCTGCGATCTAGAAAGAGCTCTGAGCCAGGAGCTGGTACTTGGAGAATCCAGTGCCAACATGATCACTTGTGAGTATGTAACCTTGAGCAAGCTCCTGACCCTTGTGCGCGTCTCAGTGTCTCGCCTTTGACAAGGACAACGTCACCCTGGTGATTACGGAGAGGGTCAAATGAATTGGCATATGTGAGAGTGATTTGAAAATAATAGAGTACTGTCAGAGCACCGAGTGGAATAATTGCAGAGCAAATTAGACCTACATCCTCAAGGCTATGTCGGTGCAACGTTTTAATCTGTGAAATACGGACTTGGAGGGTTGAGGCCTGCTCTTTCAGGGGTGCACGGCATTTTGAACTTGAAAGCTTGGTGCTGTTCTCAATGCCTACGAGACTGGGGAAGAGAGCAGAATCTGATTCACAAGGTTGGAATCCATCTGGTCTCTGTCGTCACATCTTAGGGTTTTAGACCTGTGAGACATATTGGTTTTGTAACTAGAGCCATCTAGTGTTGAATTGATTAAAACATGCACATGGGCACGCGTGCGTGCATGTATGCACATACACACACGCATGTCTGCACACACACATATACACGCACACCCCCCCTTTGCTTTGTGCTCTAGAAAATAGTATTTGGTTCTCCTGACACCTTTGAATACTGTTT